CAGGAAGCCGCTGGCTGGAGACAGGCTACCCGCTGCCCTGCAGGGTGAGAGGGCCGCTCGGAGATCAGGGCGCGATGGCCTGAGCTGGCTCGTCCCCAAGAGCACAGCGCACACCATCAGCAGGGCAGATGACCAAGAAAGGCAGACACTGTCTTCACAAGGCCAGGTTCAGCAACACCACGCCAGTTTCCCCGAAGTTTGGCGCTCGGTGAGTCCAGCAGCTGCTCCATCCTGGTGCTGGCCAGGCCACCCTGGGCCGCGGGGACACAGAGGGCGTGAGACTGGGAGGTGCTGCTTGCTGGAGCTCAGCTCTGCCTTCCTCGCTGCCACTGCCACCAGGCGTCGGGGTCTCTAGTCTCCCTTGGATAACCTCAGCCACAGGTGTCCTCAAATCCCAGGCTTGTCACCTGCAGAGCAAGAGGAAACAGGGAAGAGGAGCAGGGGGTCATGAGAGCTTCCTGACAGGCCCAGAGCCTCAGCGCTGGCACGGCATCCCTGCCCAGGGGACTGAGAACTGCCGGGAGCCAGGGCCGGCTTCAGGAATTAGCTGACAAGGAGGAAGAAGGGAAAGGATCCATCTAGGCTGAGGCAGGTGAGCTGAGACCTGCAGGGTGACCTGGAGGCTGGTTTCTTGGGATGAGACGGCACAGGGACGTGGTTCACTGCCGTGTCACCATCCGGTTCCTGAGTCACGCGGATATCCCATGTACGGTTATGTGTTTGCTGTGGGGCGACTGCGTGCCCCCAACTTCACATGGTGAAGTCTCACCCCCGTGACCTCTGAATGGGGCTGCATTTGAAGACAGGGCCTTTAGAGAGGCAGTTTAGGTAAAACAAGGTCACGTGGGAGGGCCCTACCCAATAAGACTGTTGTCCTTACAGAAAGCAGAAGCCAGGTCACAGACGCACACAGAAGGAAGATTATGCGAAGACAGAGAGAGAAGACAGCCACTTGCAAGTCAGAGAGAGCGGCCTCAGAAGACACCAACCAGCCAATGCCTTGATGTTGGACTTCCAGCCTCCAGAACTGTGAGCAAATGTATAACCTAATCAGGGATACTTTGTTACAACGGCCCTGGCAGACTGATACAGCATTGCTGCATGAAATCATTATTGAGGCCCACAGGGTTCCCATCAGCAAGGATAATGGCGAAACTCAAAGCAAACACCAACACAGCCCACGCTAGGTGCAGGCCCTGCTTCATGCATTTTTCATATATTAATGCTCTTCCTCTCCCGACAACTCCCTGAAATAGGATATTATCCCCAGCCTGAATGGGGAAACTGAGGTACAAAGCATGTAACTTGCGCAAGGTCACACCACTAAAGGACACTGGGTGGCAATGTCCCAAGTTTGCTTTTCTTCCTCCAGAAACTGCTTCGAATTCCTAAAGATTAA